GACTTCTTAGATAGGCCTATTCGTGGAGTACCGTGCCATTACGGACGTCTATTGTGGCGATATCGATAAACACCTCAAATCGGTATTCCAGACAAGTTCTTTTATCAGTGGGAATGGCCACACAGGATTGTCGATACCTTGACGCCTAGCATATATATTATTCGGGACGCACAGATGCCAGTGGGACCCGCGTTCACAACACACTTCAACAAGCTCAAACCGTATCGGGGTCAACTTCCGACGACGACAGCTGACTCCCTCCCTTTCGTACCCCCGCATCTCGTGCCGGAACTGATCGACAAAGCTGAAATCGGCCCTTCCACCAGCGAGCCCGGAGGCGATCCTGGGGACTAGACCGCATCTAGAGGGTGGTGGTATGTAACATTTATTTATTTTAATCGGTGTATATATTTTGAAACAACTTAACCATTTTCCTTCTGTATTTCGGTTTCGTTTGTACTGGAGTGCAAGTTTGTAAGAGGAAGGGTATGATGAGGAGTGATTCTGCGGATTTTAATCGATCCGTCAAACAGGACGTTCTTGGTTGAAGTGCGAGAACATCTGCAGACTGTGTGAACGACGATTTTGTTGGAATAAATGGGAATTATTTTCGTACAACCGTTTTTAATAAACAACCACACTAGGGCCTCACTCTGACTCTTTTGTCTGTTGAAGTGATTGTTGGAATTGATATGACATCTGAAGAGAAAACGGTGCGCCCACTGAGATCCATGTTTTCAAGAAGAAACTTGACGTTCGACGATCGAGCTCGGTGGTTGGGAAGATCATTGCAATAGCTACTTAACAGAAGCAGCTTACCAAACACGCGTGAGCATGGATATTTAACGCTGCGACCTGTAAAAGGCGGCACATAAGGAGTTGCTGAGAGTATCTGCGCTGGGTTGGGTCGGGATCGAGAAAATGGATGGAAGTGGTTTACAAAGCGGTTGATACCTAGACTCAGCGCCGAGAAACGAGACAAAAATGCCGCACTGTCACGCGAATGAACTGCAGTCGTCGATATGGAACTCGTCAAGTTTGCCGTCTTCGTCAAGTCGTTTCGTCACACAAGCAGAAAGAGGAAACAAGTAAATGACAACAATTCTGCACCCGGGCCTCCACAGGGAAATCAGCCAAATGGTGATCTGTGCCAAGCTGCCGTACACGACGCCGATTGTCTCAATGACCGAAGTTTGAACCACTTCATCTTGGCATCCGCGGAAAAGCTCCCCACTTGGAGTTGAATGCAGAAGTAGCGTCTTCTCATTCTTTGCCGGGCAGACTACATGACCTGTTTGGTATGACAAACAGACGAAGCCCAAAATAGGCATTGAGGCAGGCGTGCAGGCAGATTGCCAGACCCGACTCGGCCAGATTTCGGAGAAAGGGAGGAGTGAATTCCCGGGCTGTTGTGGCCCAGAAGCGGGCACCGGGCGATAGCATACCGGAAAGAAAAGCGCAAGGCCGTTTGGTCTCATGCATGGTCTCATAAATGTTACACAGGCTCCATATTCTTGATATGCATCCATGAAACTTATTTGACTTTTGTCCCATTAAGCGGGGGATAGTTTTTTAGTAACCAGCTAAGCTTATCCACGTTTTATGGAGTAAAACCGGGACCTAATTCCATCTTGTGATACCTTAGCGCGCAACTTGTTCTTCGGACAAAACTTTATTAAATTAAAGTGGCAGAAAATCACGTCTTCCACGTTCCAAGAGTCAAAATTGAAGGGCCAATATTCGTTACTTTTCGGAGCATAGTGTAGGCAATAACTTTGTGCTACATAGCGGTTAGAAGGCAGTTGTTTGCGGAAGTTAACTGGAATAGCTAATTCACCAAAATTCGGGATCCCTAATAGAAGGAAACTTCAGCGTTTCTTGTTCGGTCATGCAACCGCCAATCAAGAACTCGGTAATCATCAGGAAAGCGCAGTCTATTAATAAGCGATCAAAAAATGCCGATTTGTCCGTGGATTTTAAGTAACAAGATATTGTTACTATATCTTGGTACGTAAATTTTTTTATGACCACCAATCTAAAGTCTTAGGAGTTTAAACTGTGTGTTGATAAGCGCACTGCAGTCTTCTGAAGTATTCAAGTGTATGTAAAGCGCAGACATCCACGGTCGATATGAGGGTGGCAATGGTTCGGCGTCGCCAGCAACATTTGGACCTTTACTTCTGCGAAAGTGGCCAAAGCTTCTGTCCAAACACCAGACGTCACAGATTTGACAGGTGCATGACTTCCGCAAGCTCTTACGTATCAATGGTTATAATCTCCTTACAGGGGACAGGAAACGTCAATGGATCAGAGAACTTTGGAGAGGAGCGGCTAATATTTGTTTTAGCGGTATTGCGACTACAGTCAGTCAGTCTATTTTAGGAAAATATAGGTTTGCGCCTTTGAACTCCCTAGTTGTCACATCAAAATATCAAGAATTAAAAACAATTTTAACAAGATTTCAGTCAGGAACATGTAGACAGTCAAATCTTGCATTGGTGCTTCAACCTTAATTCATTACATAGTTCACGTTTTGCTGTAACATATTATATCGAGTCGGTGTTTGAATGTTTCCACAGATTGGGACATAACAATCGCCTTACATAGATTATTCAACGAGTCCACGATCCGATCAGGGAAGACTATTCTCTTACATCCAGTCGTTCTTGGAGCACATTGTTAGGACGGCCTAACAGCAGTCTTAGCAAGTAGAGGCTTGCAAGCCATAGTCGCACTCTAAGCGGGCTAACGATTGGCCTACACGGGCGAATGTACACAGGCCGTCAATCAATGGATAATTCGAAATTCATATTGCAGTCCGTCGTCGAATAAAGTAGCTTAGCCTACCAGGGACTATTTAAGGAGGGAATATGATTGGGACATAGTTTACACGCGTTCGTTTCCCTAAAGTTATTGTACCTCTAACACTCAAAGACTTCTACAATTGCACCCTTTCTTTCGTGTTCTACCTTTGGGGACTCACACAAGGTGTTATTGAGCTGTGATATCTCGGCCTGGACTTCCGGTACAACACACATACAGTTTGATTGGATGTCCCCGGAGATTAGTTAATTGGCGAGTTGGAAAAGGTCATTACATATGAGAGCGCAGTCCAAGTCACGCACGATACGGAAGGTTTGTATCAAATTTCCACCTAACCGCTTATAACCGAGATGATACAGACTACGGTTACTTAGGCTGACTACATATGGTAGTGCACCTTGACTCTTACTAATTTTGTGGCCCGCCGCTGCACCCTTTCAAGTACGTTATAATCTTTCCGCATCCACAGTCTTCAGGCTTGAATTGCGTATTCAAGATGTGGCCCTATGAACGTACTGAAGATTTTCGAGGAACAGTCTTCGAGAAGTAGAAGACAACTCGATTGCTGGGACACTGTGTTTGTCTGTCTGACGTTTTGAAATACGTCTCGGATTCATCTTCAGAGACATAGTCACAGAACAGTAGCAGATACAGTTTGTGTGTGCACAGGGTTCCGACGGATTTCGAAACGTCAAGCAAATAAACACAGTGTCCCAGCGATCGAGTTGTCTTCTTCTTCTAAATAACTTCCTGAAACAGTCTTCATCAAATACTGTGAATGCACGCTTGTTGTCGTACAACATTGAAGTTGCAGCCTTATCCGATTTACTATATTATGAAGAAGGCTTGAGGTTGCCTGTCATCGGGAAGCCGAGATCATTCTGTATTTCTGTTTCTTGTAGTGGAATACCGTTCAGATAATAGGATCGTGCGTCAGGGA